TATATATATATATATATATATATATGTATATATGTTTCCTTCTTTTAAAACATTCACTATGAAATAAGAGTCTATATGGAAAAGTACTACAATTATATCCTCATGTAGATAAGCTTAGTTTGTGTGCATACTGCCCCACTTTGCTGACACTCTTAAATTGGTTTGTGATGTATATTAATTTAGGAAAGTGCCAGTGGGGCCAGGGAGAAGCATGATTCAAGGTTTTGGGTGACCTACCTCAATTTGGTTCCCACCTAGTCCTTGTCTTTTTTTATTTTCAGCATGCCCAGACAGTCCCCACCTGCATGCTTTTGGGCTGCCTTATATCAATGACCTCCAATGTACCCTCACATAGCATTCATACTAGCATCATACTACCCTTTCTCAAGTTTTCTCTGAAAGATTGTACAGGATAGCTCCTGGCTGGCAGCATAGGTCTACATGGAGAATTTGATCATTGCATTTGTTAAAGCAGCCAAAGCTTGTGCCAAGGTGAATCTGGAGCTGGAGATGGTTGGGGGAATGGCTGGCTGGCTGCCAGTGGCATGGCCAGAGGTATAGTAGGGATATCCCAGCTCTCCTTAACCCACAGCAAGAATTTTTAATACTCTGTGGTCTTGATTCTCTCTACTTTGTTATAAAACTAAGTTTTGTACCAAAAGAACAGAAAACTCTTAGTGAGGGGCATAAGGGAAAACTTGCTCAGCATGGTGAAGGAGCCAAGGTTCAGAGGTTGGGAGATAAACCCAGGAGTCCTGATCCTTAGCCTGCCTCGTTCTCACCATTTTCCCTTCCCACACCTAGTGAGGGAAGCCACCTGTTTCTCCTTCACAGCCTGCCCTATTCTTGTTTTCTCCCAACTTCTCCTGGTAGGTACACTCACTCTCCTTGGTTCACTGGGTTAGGATCTCGCCTCTCCCATCTAGTATGAGCAGTTTTCTCAGCAAGAGCTTGATTCTCTGTCAAAGGCTGCAGAGTTGGAGCTGATCTAAGGTGAAAAGATGCCCCTTCATGTCTCATTGCAACACCCACCACATACTTTGCTAGGGAGTGGGCAGCTAATTGCCTTCAACTCTGCTGCAGTTCCTAAGTGTAGGATCATGCACAGTGCAGCACAATGATCTTATCTACAGAGGGAACTCTAAACCAAGAGTACCTCTACTGATGTTAATGCCTGGCAACCTTTAATAGAGCATTTACTCTTCCTAATTGCCTACAGGTTTCCCTGTTACTTGATCCTGCCTGTATCACAGTGTAAGGATGCCTAGTACTCAGCAAACCAGGAACAAGGCTTGAGTTTGAAGAGAGAATGGAGATGCACCCAGGCAAGGCCCAGAAGGAGATGGAATTAAAGGGAAGGAGGGGAAAGTGGTAGATGACAAAAAAGGAGCAATGGTCTCAAGTTGCAGCAAGGGAGGTTTAGGTTTGATATTAGGAAAAACTTCCTCACTTAGAGGGTAGCAAAGCACTGGAACAGGTTACCCAGAGAGGTGGTAATATCTCCATCCTTGAAGGTTTTTAAGACCTGGCTAGCCAAAGCCTTGGCTGGGATGATCTATTTGGAGCTGGTCCTGCTTTAAGCAGGGAGTTGGACTAGATGACCTCCTAAGGTCCCTTCCAACCCTCATTTTCTATCATTCTGAAGTGCTTAAAAAAGGAAGGAGACACCCAAGGGGAATGGAGCATTTTGACTCCAACACCAGAAGTTCCAGGGTGGAGTTGGAGTCCAAGATGCTGGGGAAAGCAGTGGTTAATCTGGGGGTAAAGGGCAGAAAAAGCCACCAGTGAATCCCAAGAGCTATAGGACTAGAATGAGTGTCCCAGGTTCTGCATGTTATTGTGTACAGCAGGGTTCAAATGAAAAAGCAAAACACAAATCAAGTTCTGGATGGCTTTATTATTTGCAGGTTTTCTTCACCAGAACGGAAATAAAAAGGTGCAAAATAAAAATGATGTGAGACTGGTTCTGGGGGAGGCACTGACCAGAAAGGAAATAAGGCAAAACGTACCCTGAAATGGGCAAAGTGCATCAAAGAAACAACACCCTCCCCTACTTCCTCCATCATATCCCACCTGGATCAAACTGATCACAGCAAGGGCCTCATGGAGTTTTAGCATGGGAAGGACAACCATCTCCAGGATGGGTCCTTAGTATAGGAGTTGGTGCCAATGGGACAGTACAACTGCCAGGGACAGTTACCAAGTCATTCTAAGTTAAGACATTAAAAAAACTACAATAGTGGATGTTATGTAAATACCCAAGTTATTTCCTCAGAGATAAATAAGATGGCACCATGATTCTCCCCAAGCACATGCTCAGACATCACTTATTGCAAAACCCAAATGTCACCAAGATAGGACTTCAAAAGCTGCTTCCAGTTTGTCTTGAGGAGTCCTACATAGGTAGAACACCTAGTTACTCTTTTGGTTCATTACACTCTGAAGGCATTTTCACCAATCATCCAACTCTCCAGTCACTGAATGAAGTGTCCAGGGGTGCCTCCATTAGCTGCTGAGAGCTGCAGGGTTCATCACACCTCTTCAAACTGTAATGGCAATCTGTGGATTGCCTAGCAAAAGATCCCTTACCTTTTTCCCTTCCTGATAAGCAGCTGTAGCCAAACTAGTGCAGAGTTCACCAGTCTCAGCACCAACCAGCCCCATCTCCCTTTTGCCCAAACATTATTTCCTGCCCATTCTTTCTCTGTCCTACTTCCACTCTTGCAAACATCTGCTCTCTCTGGGACTCTCCTGATCTCCAGGGCTAGGGACAGACATTCAAAAAGCCTGAGCCTGAATTGATTTAATCTTTGCAGGTTAGTCTAACCTGGATAGGCTGAAACGGTTTGTAACTGGACAGACATTCTCTCTGGACCAAGGAAATTCAGGCACATGCCTGCAGTGGCTCAGCCTGGAAGCTGGAGAGCACTAGAGCAACCCTCCCTTCCCCTGAACAGTGCTGAGCTGATTAGGGAGGTCTGCCTGCACCATCCTAGGCTTTTCCCTGCTGGCTCCTCAAGTGGCAGGAGTGCTCCCAGACCCCTGCTAGCACTCTGAGGCAAGTGGAGTATGTAGTGCATGCATCTGTTGATGATACGGAGCCTTTCAATCTCCCTCCCTGCTTCTTTATACTGTCTGCAGCAAACTGACAGGCAAGCAAGCCAGCAGGAGGCTGATAACAGTGTTTCTCACCTCATCAGCAAAACAATAGCCTTTCTCCATTAGTTAAAACTCTTCTTAAACAGCTTACCAGCTGACCTGTTGATCAGCTCCAAAATATCCTAAGCAGTCAATGTTCTGTCTGCCTGTCCCAGTGAAATTGGAAACACACACAGACACCTCTCAGCATTAGCTAGCATACCACATGCCTAGGGTCCATGGGGCTAGGGTCTGTGCTGTGGGAGATAGGAGGGATGGAGTGGGGGATTCCTGCTTGAGGTGCAGATTCTCAGCATCCAGGGGCACGCATTGTTCATGTGAACATCTGTTCTGTTACAGGTTTAAACCAGTTTCTGGTCACTTAAACCAATTTATGTATAATGTATGTCCCTAGCCCAAGGGCACAACCTCTGGGGAAACCACTCCATGTGAAATAGCTACAGATAAGTGCAGGAAGTCAAGCTAATGGTGCTGAGACTGGTCTCCAGCATGAGAAGGATGGCTTAGCTCATATATCCTGCAGGGCTGAGGGCTTGTTCAGTCGAAGGGGTCTTCAGTCCAGGCAGAAGAGTTTTTAGAGCAGGCAGGTTCCTTCCTCTCCCAGCAGACTGGGAGGAAGCAAAGGGGCCTGACAGCAAAACCATGGAAAGACAAAGCTGATTAAGGCTTCTCCTGCACTGCCTGTGAGTCAAAGGAGACAGAGCCAGAGATTCACTGAGCAGCCTGGAGGTACCTGCAGCTGGCCCCTAACCCCACAGACAGGCAGCTGGATACTCACAGAAGCGGGAAATGCACTGTTCACAGCAGCCCAGACCGGGAATCTGCAGCGTTTCTCCACTGTGTGCAACCTCTGGTGCCGGAGGAGATGCGGGCTCTGATTGAAGCTTTTCCCACACTCATCACATTTGAAGGGTCTCTCCCCCGTGTGGATTCTCTGATGTATGATCACATGGGAGCTCCGGCTGAAACCCTTCCCACAGTCGGGGCATTTGTAGGGTCTCTCCCCTGTGTGGGTTCTCTGGTGTCTGACCAGGTGCGAGTTGCAGCTGAAGATTTTTCCACAGTCTGGACACACGTTCTGCCCCTCTGCCATCTGCTGTGTCTTAGTCTTGTTGAGGTCACTGGGGTCTTCCTCATAGAGGCTGGTGGATTTTCTCTGTTCCTTCCCAACACAGTTTTCCTTCTCCCTCCCTGCTCCAAGTTCACTGCCACTGGCTTCTCCCTGCACACAATCATTTCCTCTGAGACTACCCAGTAAAGTCCCACATTGTTCCACTGCTTGAAGCCTTTTCTGTTGGAGATTCTCCTCTTCATTTACTCCTTCACCTACTGAGAGATGGAGAGACTCCAGAGGTGAGGTATTCTCAGTGTCAGGGAGAACAGGGTCCCTCAGAAAGAGAACCGAACAACCCAAACAGCTCTTGGGGAAATAAGAATATTACGGTTTGAGCAGGTTGTGACTTCTGATCTAGCAGCCACTGCCATTGTTTCCCCACTGCTGCATTTCTATCACTGCCACTTCCCCTGAGAATATTGCCGCCAACCATTCCCTGCTTCCAAATTGCCACAAACTGCAACTAGCTTTGCAGACTGGATCTGATTGTTTCAGAGCCAGGTAAGGTCCATGGGCCATCAA